TCCTAAGAAAATCTATCCGTTTATCCCAATGAGCACACTCCTGAAAAGCAGCATTTCCTGGGCACTGCAGAGCCCACAGGGATCTTTGGGGGAAACCTCCTCTCAGTGCTGAACTGTCGTGTCCTGGGAGGGACAGTCCTGCAGCCACTTTCTTGGCACCAGCGTCCCAATGCTTCCTACCACTCCCTGAGGGTCAATGCACCCAGTGTTGACATGTGGAGAGAGGAGGAGAACAGCTCCTCACTCACCAGCTCGCTCCTGCTGCTCTACCAGAGTGCTGATCACAGCGCAGTGAGTTTGCACCACTGATTATTCATTCCCCTAACCAGGCAACTTTTTGATACCACATCTATTATTGTTTTCTTAATTCCTCTTTGTCTATATCATGCAGAACCCCCTGGGGGAGCCTGCGAATGAGTCTTGGTGCAATTTAAGTGCACTGCACCAGTTTATTATTTGCTGAGTCAAAACTAAGCTGATGCCCCACTCCCAGCACTTGACACATTCCCTAATGTTAGGTGGGATTTACAAGCCCATTTTTGCTGTGTGCCACAGTGGATGGGCAAAACCTGGGCTACCGCAGGATGCAGAGATGGGACATGAGGGCTCCCCACACCAGCGTGTGCCACAAGGAAAGCCCACAGCTCCCCATCCCCTCCTGTGGTTTCAGGGAAACATCTTGGATGAAACGTTCAGCTCCAGAGAGCAGAACCATTTCACACAAGATTTCACTGTTGGAGGCTGGTGGCCCTGATGATGGGTTTTGCCCATTTCTTCTGCAAGCAGCAGAAATGGCTCCATCTCCATAGAGGATTTGGCCTCGGGTCCCTTGAAACAGGAGGCAAAACTCACCCTGGAACAGGCCTCCTCTCAGCGAGCAGGGAGACACAGCAGGACCAGAGCTGAGGCGCTGCAGGGCTTGGGGCACTTTGTTATTGAGCTGAGCCGGTTAGTGCCAGCAGCCAAACAAACTGATAGGAAGGATATTTCCCCAGAGAGCGAGAAGGTTTTGATTTAGACTGTGCTGTTTAAGCCCAGACTCTCACCACAGCTAAAATTTCCTTCCGAGGGCAATAATTATCCCAATGCAGAGCCCAGGCATGGGTTTGCTTTTTTGCTCCCTGTCTGGAAGGGTTTGGTTTAGAGGCTGTGATTTCCCCCGGTGTTCTGCACCTCCTGCACCTCTTGCCCAGCACTGATGACCAGAACTGGGGGGAAGCAAGGAAAAGCTCAAGGCACAGCTTTATACAGGGCTCACCCTCAGGTATTAAACTAATCATCAGGAAGCAGCGTTGGTCCTTCAGGGGCTCTGCTCCAGCCCTGTGCAGGCTGCAGCCCCAAAGGCAGCACTGTCACTGCCAACCCCACAACTTCTCCACTGGTTCTTGGATGAAAATTGCTTTAAAAACTCCAAGAGAAGCCGTTTGGTTCTTCTTGGTGGTAAGAATGTAAAAGAAAAAGGAAAGAAGGAATGGGAATGCTTTTGTTCTTGGTTGCCAGGTAAATGAGGTTCAACTTTGGAAAAAATAGAGAGCTCCTAGTGCTAAGTTCAGGAGTGATTTCTTCCTTCAGAACTATAATAATAACAATGATAATTGATTAAAAAAAAAACAGCCTAAATGTGTACCTTGAGTTAACTCAGGACTCTTTTTGAGTTCAGGACTGTTGCTGGATAAATAAATGCTTATTTGGAAAAGGAATCTCCAGCTTCCTGTAAATAACAGGCAGAGAAGCAGGACTCAGGGCCAGCCCACACACATGCAGCACAGCTTGGGGGAAATCCTGGCCGATCAGGTTATTCTGGTTTTACCCCACTTTGGGGAACACCACTCCTGGCTTCATGCCCACCTGCTCCATTGCAACATCCATGTCAGCCCACTGTGCTGCTTTGGTGAAGGAGCAGAAAGTCAGGCAGAAAGGTCTCCCAAAAAGGTGAGGGCCAAAGTGATGGAAACGCTCGTGGGCGCAGCGAGGAGCTGTTCTCCCTCCTGAGTGGGCGCCGCGGCCGCTGTGGCCCACGGGCTGTGCCCAGCCCAGCAGGCAGGAGATAAGGCCTGGGGAGGTGCCAGGAGTCACAGAGGGCTGGGCAGCTCAGCACATGGAGCACATGGAGCCTCAGCTGCCCGGGATGTCCCAGCGCAGAGGGACGGCGCGGCCCTGAGGGACGCTGAGCGGTACGTGGTCTTGTCCCATCCCCACCAGGGAAATGCAGCTTCTAGAGCATGACTGAAATGATGTGTTCCTGCAGCGCTTTTCTTTGACTTACTGGCAGGTTTGGGTGTTGTCTAGGAAAGGTTTAAATTGTTCTCCCTTCTCAAAAGAGAAGGGGAGAGGAGGTGAAGGGGAAGCCCCAGGCGCTGGCATCCTTTCCGTGGGGCACAGCTGTGCTGGTGTCATGGGCTGAGCTCAGGAACTCCCTGTGCCAACGGGGAGCTGTGATGTGCTGGAATCAGCTCTGTGATGTGGGGGCCAGATCATCGTGGCCACAGATGAATTTGCAGGGTGTGCACTCTGCAAAGTGTGGGGCTCATCCAAGGTCAAGCTGCTGCTCAGGATTTCGTCTGTTTTCTCTTGCACTGCTGAAAGGGTTGGTGCTGCCCACACAGGACCAGTAGGGACAGAATTATTTCCTTTAAAAAACTGACGGCATCATGGAATTTTCAGAAACCAGTCTAGATGGAAGGGTAGGAGGACACAAGGTACCAAGTGCTTTCTTGCAAAGAAAGCAGCAAACACTGGTCAACAGCCCAGATAACTGTGGGCTTGTGCCAGGGCCAGTTTTGCCATAAGATGCCCTCTCCAACCATTTGGTGGATGCAGAAGCTGGCCAAGCATTTTTATAAGCAAGAAAATATATAAGTTCTCTAGCAAACAGCACCCTCCTATTGAGCAACTCAACAAAATTTAGTCAGACTGATTCCTTTTGAGACTGAAAATGGCACTGTAGCATTCTCCATTCTCCTGTGGAGATAAACCCTGAGCACAGGATGGATATGCACCCACCCTGCCAGTCCCTCCTCTGCACCCCTGCATTCAGTTGTGCAGGAAAACCCTTGTGCAGGCTTTTTTTTCTGGATGAGTGACTCAGTGGCTGTGGACACCTGGCAGTCACCTTTTTTGGAGCTGCATCCCCACTCTGCATCAAAATAGTTTAGTTCACAGTCAGGGACCTGTTGGGAGAGAGAGGGACATGTGGGGCTCAAAAGCAGAAAAAAAGGCATGGGGGAAGGGGGGAGTGGGGGGGAGGCAGAAGTCTGTGGGGAAGAGGAGAAAAGTTTTTCTGCAGCGCTGAAGGAGAACAGGAACACTGACTGGCGCATCCTGGAAGGGCTCTGGAGGGCAGGGATCTGCTGCTCCTCCCGCAGTGACTCAGCTCCGCCAAGTGGCGTTTCAGACCAGAGCAGCCTCGGGTGGAGCTTTTTCTTTACAGCACCGTGAGCTGCCTCAGCAATGTTTGTCCAAGAACTTTCTTGTTCCTGGAATGTTATTTTAAGCAAACAGGTTTGAGGTTTATTAGACAAATAACTCTGTTTAACACCTATAACAATTCCTTCTTTTCTCCCTCTCCTGCCAGCATCTCTCTGGCACATGCCAGAGCACAGGTGCCTTTTATTCTGGCACAACTCTAGAAAGAAAAATAAAAAAAAAATATCAATGCAAACAATTAAAAAACAATATAATAGAAATCCCACGACAGGGCCACTCTTTTGTAATGCAATCAGGTTCTAGGAATTCCAGCACCCAGGGACTCCACCCAATAAATTTTATCTAGGATTAAGGTGAAGATAAATAGCCCAAAGAAATATATGACTTCCCTAAAGCACTGGCATTTATTGGTTTATTTTTCCATTTCTCTTCCTCTGCAATGAAATCAATATGTGCAAAGAATAAAACCACAACTTCGGTGAAGGAGAGGACTGTGCAATGGGCCCCAGTGAGGCCAATGTTCACTGTTGGACTGGGGACCAAACAGGGAATGTTTTAGGGTGGAGTTTTGTTCCACTCACTGTGTTCAAATCACACCCCAGGTCTGAATCCTCACCAGATCCAGGCTCTGCTCATGGCACTTGTGGGGAAGACAAGCTCCCCAAGGCAAACCAATACCAGTTTTGAAGTCCTCACAACTGGCCAAGGGGGATTGTGAGAACTGGCCCCATTTTCCAACCCCATCATCAGATCAGGCACTGGGATGGGGGGCCAGGAATGGGAAGGGGGTCCCTGCCTTTATAAACTCCACACTGAAAGGAGCAAAAGGGAAGAGCCTCATGCTGCCCCAACCACCCCCACCACCCCCACCCCCCCCCCCCAGATCCAGCCGCAGGAAACGTTAGTCCTCTAAAACCTTTAAACTGTCCTTTTTCAGGTCTGTGAATCTTATACCAGCTCAATGAAATGGGTTTGCTCATGCCAGCTCTGACACAAGCTTTAAAATCCATTTCAGAATAACTGTGCTGAGGGCTGGGGTGTGGGGAGGGGCTTTGGGCATCACAGACCCCCTCCCCTGCCACCTCCCGTGGGGACAGATCCTGCTCACAGCCAGCCTTCCTCTGACAGGAACAGCTGCAGAGAGAGGGGAGATGCTGCTGGGAAGCTCTGCTCTGCTGATACACAAACAAAAACACTTTGTCTTGGTACATGGGGGGACACAAATCCCTCCCAGGGCTTCCCCTAAAATGCAGGTGGGCCAGTCTCCCATGGGAACTGGTAGCTCCGTGCTGGAGCAGCTTTGGCAGACTGTCCCTGCTGCAGTGTCACAGCAGAGGGGTGTCATGGGGAGAAGTGCCAGGCTCCAGAAACATCAGCCAAAACTGATGGGGCTGCCTAAAAACCCCAGGCAGGGATGCTGCAACCCACCCCTGAGTGTAGGGGAAGCCACGGGAAGCCTCTCTTCGGGGCACTGAGCCCTGGGAGGGGACAGCAGCAGGGCTGGGCAGGACAAGCTCTTCTCTCCTTCCTCATGACGCAGCAGCCTGAAATCACCACTCAGCCCAGCCCTGCTACGGCCCGCTGCTCCTTATTTACCCTTCAAACAGGAAAAGCAGCTCTCAGCACAGCTCGTTTACAAATTTTCCTGTCAAACATTACTGAAGAGCTGCTTTGGTTGACATTAGGCTCGTGAACTCTCAGCACCCATCTCACAAGTGACAATTCGCCGCAGGGCTCCAGCGTGGTTGCCAGGACAGAGGTTCAACAGACGACAGCAGCCCCGAATTTCAGAGGTAGGAGTGCTCCCAGCCCCTGGGGGAGCCCAGCATGTGGGGTGGCAGTGCTGTCCCATCGGTCAGGGTGGCAGTGGGACAGGGGGCAGCAGATACTTCACACTCCAAATTACAACCACTGCCTGTCCACGGGGTGAAGACACTCCAGGATTTGGCCAGGTGGAAATATTTCTGAGTTTAAGTCAGGTGTCCACAAAGCTGGCTGCTCTCTTCAGCACAGTGGTGCTGCCTTTCCTCCCTTCTCCTTTGGATTTTAAGGAAGACAAGCTTTTTTTCCAAGAGATTCCACTGACCAGGCAAAGGCAGGTCACAGCGTGTCCTCAGACAGCATTTTGCAGTGCCTAATATTCGAAATCTACCCTGCATCATCCCAGAAGAAAATGCAGCAGAGCTGTGATGAAAGTGTCCACCTCGTTGCTATCAGCAGCACAGAAAAGGCTGGTCCATTACCAAGAACAGGGACGAGGAGCACAATGGCAGCAGACAGGGGAAGGGTTCTGAGGCTCCAGAGGGAAGTGAGCTCGGGCAGTGCAGCCTGCTCCAGGACTTTATCAGGGTGGGACCTTCTGCATGGTTTGAGAATTGGTATATCTTTGATGACGTCCTCACTATTGCAAATGTGACTGAACATAGCAATTGGCTTCTCATCTAGAATCTGCCTGGCTTTGGTGGCTTTCAGGCACTCTTTAAGGCATTGCCTTCTTTCCTCAGGGTGACCTGTGACTGTCAGTCCTTCCCAGCCGTGCTGTGTGCCCACCACCATGCGGGTAACAAGTAAGGAGGGACATATATTTACTTTTCTCTCTCTGTTTTGGTTCTTTATGACTCTTTCTCATCTACATGATGCCTTCCAAACCCAGCAACCCTGCCCTTCCCCTGCCAGGGACGTGAGAAAGGGCCTTTCTATAAGCATCAGGTTTTTACAAGATTTGTGTCAATTTTAGCCTGTTGTATTTTTCCCAGTGAAACCTTCTGTGACTGGGAAGAGATGGCTATTGAGATGTTCCTGGTTCCATAAGAGCCATTCAGCTGCAATAAAAGTACATTTTTCTGCTCTCTTTCCATGCAGGACTGGAACGTTTTGCTCTGATGAGCGCTGCTTTAAAGCCAAATGCCAATCACAGTTGTATCAGCAGCTGCTCGGCTGTAGCTAGTGACTAATTGGGGGATAGCAGCCTTCCCAGCACTGGGAACATAAGAAATATTTGGATTTACATAGCTTTCTGACTAATTATCAGATTTACTTTAACATAGAGAGAAATATGAATAGTGCCTCCCAGCAGAGCACTAATGCCTATCTGAGCATCACCACATACTCTGGAGATGGTAATTAAGAGATCAGAATCCATTTGGAGGGTGAGGGATTGTTAGCTGCCTTCCCACACCATGCAAGCACTGGCTGTCACCCTGTCCCGGTAACCTGGGGACACAAATCCCAGTGAACCAGGGGGATGATCCGGTGCCTGCCCCGTGCTGCAGCTCTCTCAGCCCGCCCCTCTCCCACGCCTGCAGGTGTGATCCGGTCCCTGGTGCTGCTCCTCACCCTGCTGGGCTCCTGGTTCCTCATGCAGACGTACTTCCAGCACAGCTGGAAAGCCATCAGCCTGCGGAGCTGGCTCGGTGAGGCACGCAGGGCTCCAGAGGGCTCCAGAGGGAGGTGGGAGAGGTTCCATTGTGAGCCAGCCCCCAGAGCTGGGTACAGCTGCCCTGACCAGTTCTATTTGCAATCTCTGGCTGAGGCTTCAGCCACCAGCTCTGGCCACTAGGGCAGGATGGGACAGTGTGGTGTGGTGGGAAGCTGCACTGGAGTGGGTGGGTCCAGGAATGCCTGCAACCATGGGAAGCAATTTTAGAGAGCTGAGCAGGTGCCTGAACAGCTGCTCCTGGCTTGGGGAAGAGCCAGCAGCTCTCCAGGGTGTCTAATCCTCCTGCTTGATACCCACAGGTGCCACGAAGAAGCCCAGCAGTGAGTATTGCTCTCTACTTCATCACACAACTCCACTCCAGGGTTCAGGGTGGAAGCATGGGATCTCCTTCAAGAGCAAAAACCCCCTCTCCCAAACACGGGGAATTTTTACTGCACACAGCAGTGGGGTCTTTGGCAGGCCCCTGCCTTGGCCAAAAATGGGGAAACTCTGGGCAGAAAAGCCCCAAGGGTCCTGCCTCGGACACCAGCTCCAAACGCTCCCGGCACACACATGTGTCCTACCTGGAGCAGCACCTGGCCTTGGCACCATAAACCTCAAACGAGAAGCTGGTCCCAGCCCCAGGACAAGCCTCCTTCGTGGAAGAAATTGGTCCAGGTGTTGCCCCCTTAGTGGGCCAGTGTATCCTGCTCCAGCCCTGCTCAGCCCCTCAGGGACACGGCCAGTGTCTCCCCATGGGGACAAAGCCACGTCCCCATGGGGACTTTCAGCTCCACTCCTCCTTCACAGGTGAGAGGCTGCCCCGGCACAAGTGTGGGAACCAGAAGAGCTGCCCCCAGAATTATTTTGCCTTCAAGATCATCAGTGGTGCTGCAAATGTGGTGGGACCCTCGATCTGCTTTGAAGACTCGGTGTAAGCAGCACATGGCAGGGACAAGGCAGCTGTGGCTGGCCTGGCCTCCAAGAGGGCAAGTTTGGCCTCTGCCAAGCACAGCAAGTGTATTTGTGGTTAAAAAAATTTAATTAGATTTCTTTGCTACCACTTCTGGTTATTTTGTCATCTACAGCCACTTCACCTCACCACAGTTTCTCTGGCATCAGCATCTCCAGTGCATCCCTGCACTGACTGGTGCTCTCTGCTTTCCTTTCCAGCCTCATGAGCAGCGTGAAAAACAACATTGGCAGAGGCCTGAACATTGCACTGGTGAATGGTGAGTCAGACAGGCACTGACCCCCTTCTCCCCACTGCCAGGGCTCCTTCCTTCCCCAGGAAAGCAAAGGCCACTGAAAACCCCATCCCAGGCACTGTGGCTGAGCCAAAAGCACATCCCTCTGGTGTTGCATGGGGAGCACAGCCACAATTATGGTTGCAAGCACTGCCAGTGAGAAGGGAGCCAACCCACCTGGGCAGCTCCACAAACTCCTCCAAGCAACACAGTGACCATGGCAGCAATTACAACACACTGAGGGAAGAGCAAAGCATTTTGCAAGGCACCCCAGACTCATGGCCAGGCAAAGCCCAGAGCCACCCCAGTGCAAACTCACTGTGCTCTGTTTTCAATTTTAACCTTTCAGGAACAACTGGGCAGCTCCTGAAAACTGATGCCTTCGACATGTACTCTGGAGGTAAGCACAGTCACTCTGCTCCTCGGTGCTTCCCAGCCAGGGCTCACACCAGCACTCCTGGCTGCTTCAGCTGCTTCTCTGCCATCTATTTAATGATAAAGTCAAGTGGGCTTTGACCAGACTTGCCAGTCTGGGTGGTAAAAGCCCAGCTTTCCCTGAGGCCATCAAGCCTGGAGTCCTCACAATGCTTCCACATCCAAGATTGGCTTATCGCTCCTTTTACAAGCATGTAATAGCCTGGAAAACATGATTTCACTAACCTGAATAAACTAAGGCATTTGAGACTTGAGAAAGGTACTTTCTGAGATCAGGTAGTTACACTAATCCTGATACTTTGCAACCTGTAACTCAGTTTTTGCATACCGGTGGTGGCTGCTCATTCCCCTGCCTTTCGCAGCAGGATAAATGAAGGAGCTCAGGGAGACCTGGCCCCCTCAATCATTCCTTGGATTTGCAACCTACTCTTGGTAACTCTGGAATTTTAAGGAGATTTAATCTCAGTATAATGAGATTTCCATGTTCACGAGCGAGATGCTCGGTGGGAGAGGCACTGGGAAGAAGGCAGCAGTCAGCTCATGTGCCACTAGATGGGGCATTGGATTCAAGCATCCCACAGATGCGGGATGAGGAGTAATTCCCCCGGTACAGCCAGAGGCACGATGGCAGGGAAAGCGTCTCTGTGGTCAGGCAAATTCATTTCTTGTGTGTTGGGAGAAAAATTCACACAACTGGATTTCAGAGTTAGCAAGCAAAGTTCAGGAGGAATTTCTGCCCTGCAGTTGTTCCAAGAGGAGGATATCAGTCCTGTGCACTGCAAGAGAGCCCAGGTGGGAACACAGGATGGGGAATGCATCATTTGGGAGCCCACCATTCGCCCAAATCCTGGCTAGCACCAGCACAGTCAGGTTATTTCCCACCAAACCAGAGGAGGCTCCCCCGTGCAGAAGTACCTACTAAATCCCTTTTTTCTCTCCCTACTGCTCTTCTCTCCCAGACATTACCAAGCTGCAAACCTTCCTCCAAGGGATCAAGCGTGGCACCCTTGTGCTGACAGCAAGCTACGACGATGCTGCCACAAAGTAAGTTTGCCCATGGAAGCAACACCAGGCTCCCCAAAAACACTCAGCTGGGGGAGCTGGACATGCTGCTGCCACCAACAGAGAGGGAAAAAGAGGGGACACCCACCTGGCAGCACAGTGACACCTTCTGACCCTCTTTCAGGATGAATGACAAAGTACGGGCATATTTCACGGAGCTGGGCAGCAGCCATGTGGGCAAGCTGGGCTTCCGGGACAACTGGATCTTCTTGGGAGCAAAGGGGCTGATGAACAAGAGCCCCTTTGAAAAGGTACATGGCCCTCCCCTGCAGGTTCCATCCTCTCCATGGTACCCCCCAAGCTACATCTCACCCACCTGTCTGCAGAAGACAAGCACCAGTGGCAGTGTCCACCACGCCAAACCGAGCTGCAGCTTTTGCCACCTTTCCAACTTGCACTGTTCCAACCTCCTTATTCATCTTCTCTCTCTCTTCTTCCTGCAGCACATTAAAAATGATGGAGAGACAAATAAATATGAGGGCTGGCCTGAGCTGTTGGAGATGGAGGGCTGTGCCCCCAGGAAGATGGACTAGCATGGAACTCCAGCCTGCCATGGAGGGCAGCTTCACCAGTCACACAGGGACACCAGCCCCATGGTGGGGACTGCAGCCTCTCCACTGCCAGGTCACAGAGCCCAGCAGCTGCTGCTGCTCATGGGAACTGGCTGCTTCACAGCAGGAACTGTGCAGGGCTTGCAGAAGAGCTGTACAAGTGCCTGCAGAACTGAGCAGACACGTGGCCAGACTGCAGCCAAGCCATCCTCATCTATGGGTCAATTTGGGGTATTTTATTTTTTCTATCTTTTAACTAAAAACTTTGTAGAAGGTTTTGTAAATTTCTTCAATGAGATTTCTAATTACAAAACACTACCTTCTGCCTTCCATTTTCAAGCATAATCAACGCTTTCTCCCACGGGCACAGCATGCCAGGTCCTCTGCCACCAGTCCAGCATCACCATCACCCATCCCACAGCCCTGCACGCAGGAGCTCCCCTTCCCCGCATGGCACAGGGTAAAGTCATCCCTGGGGATGCTCAGACTTTGGTGGTTTCCCCCTGGAGCTCTTACCCATGTCCTACAGTCTCCTACCACCACAATAAGGCCAGAAATCCACAGGGATAGCACACAGCAATGTAGGTTAATACTTGCAGACCAAAGCATCATTCCTGGGTGTTATGAACTGGTTTAAACTCAGAAGAGCAAAGAAAATAAGTCTCTATGTATAAAACAGAAAGAACTTTGAAGGCTCAAAATCTTCCCAAAAACAAGATAAAAAAACAAACAAGATTAAATGTTGATGCCAAAAAAATTGATAGATTTTGATTTAATAGAAAGAGAGGCAAAGAGAAAGAAAGTGAAAAGAAGGGAAAAGTTAGAAAATACTAAGGGTGTGGAGAGCAGAGCAGGTTTTGCCCATCTTTCTCTGCTGTTTGAAGCATCTTATCTGCCCTCCCTGACCTCAGGAGCAGTTTGGCTGAGATGCAGCCACCCATCCTCGGGATGCAGGAGCCGTGCCTGGCCTCTGCAGCCGAACCTTGGTCCACTCGTGGTGCTCCCTCCCTGCCATGGGAGCAGGGCAGGGGTTCCACAACTCACTCCTGACTTCAGTCCAGGGCTGCAGGATCAGGGGTTCCTCCCCAGGCAGGCAATGTCATGGAGGCTCAGGGTGTCCCACAGCAGGCAATGGTGGTGAAGGCAGGGGAAAGGCAAAGGTCAGGGATTCTGCCCCTTCCTTTCCCCTCCACATTTTCACTAGTTTTGCCTTCCTTTTTATAGGCCTCAAGGCAGGCTACTCACAGTCCATCCCACCCATAGTTTTCAGGTGTTCAAGAGTGATTATGATAAGCAGACATAATGACAAAGCTCTTTTTGAAGCCTTTCTCTTATTATCAGGTTCTTACACCAGGTTAAATCCAAGCTAAATCCTCTGTGGCACACCCCCATCAAAGGTCAGGATAATGCCAGGGTTGTGCCAGCCTTGCTTTGCCCTCAGGGATGGATGGATGGATGGATGGATGGATGGATGGATGGATGGATGGATGGATGGATGGATGGATGGATGGATGGATGGATGGATGGATGGATGGATGGATGGGTGGATGGGTGGATGGGTGGGTGGATGGGTGGATGGATGGATGGATGATGGATGGATGGATGGATGGATGGATGGATGGATGGATGGATGGATGGATGGATGGATGGATGGATGGATGGATGGATGGATGGATGGATGGATGGATGGATGGATGGATGGACGGATGGACGGATGGGTGGATGGATGGATGGATGGATGGATGGATGGACGGATGGATGGGTGGGTGGGTGGATGGGTGGATGGATGGGTGGATGGATGGATGGGTGGATGGATGGGTGGATGGATGGGTGGATGGATGGATGGATGGGTGTGTGGATGGATGGGTGGATGGATGGATGGGTGGATGGGTGGATGGGTGGATGGATGGATGTGCAGGTTTCTTGGGCAGCTGAAGTTGTGCAGCACAACCAATAGGTGGGAGCCTTTTACCGGCAGAGCCGGGGCCAGCACCGCTCCGGAGCGCTACAACGCGCCCGGGCTCGCACCGCTGGGAGAGCAAAGATCCCTGCCCGAAGGCGAGCAGCAAAGCCCCACAGTGCTCCTAGAGCAGTCCCCACGTTGCTCCCCAACACTGAGCAGGTCCCGGGGAGCATCTGCCCCCCGCTCCTGCCCAGATGCACCAGCCAAGCCCGGTCTGTTCCCAGCCCCACCCTGAGCCCCGGCGCTGCTGGGATCAGACGAGCTGCACGGGTGCTGGCTGGGCTTATCTGCCATCAGAGACAGGGATGAATTTGCATCACGTACAGACTTTAATTTCCGATGATTGTATCTGGTTTTTCTCCATTCTCTGAAGCAGACCAGCAGTTTTGCGAAACATGAGGATGTAGTGTTTCTCCTGGAGCATTTGGAACTGCACGGGATAACAGACTGTCCTGCACAGCCTTCTCTGCATCCAACAGCCCCTGCACAGCTCCTAGCAGGCACTTCACGGGGTTATGGGAGCTCTCAGGTCACACCAGGGGAGCACAAGCGAGGAGCACAGGCAGGATAAGGCCAGGAAAGGACACAGCCTGTCCTGTGCTGGCCACCTGTGGAACAAAACCCTGGATCCAAAACTCAACAGCACCAATCTATCAGTTTTCCCTAAACAAGGAAAAACCCCCACATAAACTGTGTAACACCTGTAAGGACTTCCAAAGGCAGAACTGAAATAAAACCCCGAAACAGCCACCACAGAGGAATCCCCGAAGAGGTGTAGTATTTTATCCCAGCTTATCCTCCCATGCTCTTAGCACACACCTGATGGCACTGAGGGAAACCTCTGCCATAAATCGATCCCTAAATCTGCTGCAACAACAGCGGTTAATCCCCAGCGCTGAATCATCCCTACCCATAGCACAGCAAGAAATAACACAACCAGCAGACACAACAGCCCTGCGAGCTGCCAGCATAAATATGCCAACTATTTTAAGCCCCTCAAAGGATCTAGATTCACTCATAAAGCAAACTGAAAACAGCCCAAGAGCTGTAAAGGTGGCTCCACAGGGCAAACCAGAGCACAGCATCAACTACAGCCCCAAAAACAACCAGCCACAGGAAACTCTTCCTACCCCTTGCAATGCACATTAGAAATCTGGTTTAAAGCCAAAATAAAGGAAATTTATGTTTCAGCATGCTACAGGCAGTTGAAACTAGCTCTGAATCCATCACAGAACAGTTACTAAGGTACATCACTATTTTCAAGAAATAGGGAGAGCTAAAAATGCAATTCCTGTGCAGGGACCTTCAGCCAGTGTTTTGAAGTGCCATTCCTGCCAAAGTCCCTGTGTCCTGATAAATAAATCAGAGTTTTTAAAATATCCAGACACTGAGAGGTAGAGAATAAATATGAATTCATGAGTCAAACTGAACTGGCTAATTTCTTTAAATTGATCTGAAAAGGACAGTGGGTGCAAGGACAGCTATCTCCAAATGAAGTTTTGCAGTGCTGTGGCATTTTGAAAGCTGTATTACTGCAGGGACAGGCACCTACCTGGCTGCTCTGCACTGTGCTGCATCCCCAGAGTCTTCACCAAACACAAGCCTGAGCCGCCCAGACTCCCAGAATGCAGCTTCAGGTAACCTGGGCTCACCCGGGGTCACAGCAGGCACCAAGGCTGCAGCAGCAAACAGGCAGCCTGGGGTGTTTGTGGGAGCAAAGTTTGCAAAATCCAGTGCTGCAACAGGAGCTGGGAGCCAGGATGCAGAGAGGCAGAAGAGGGATAATCTTCCTTTATATTTAGGGGTCCATTTGGGCAAAGCACCAAAGGAGTATCTAGGAAAGATGCCACAGGCAAGGACCTGCGGGTGCCGGGCCGCAGCTGGGCGAATCCGCATCCTGTGACATCTTGCCCTGTCAAGTGCAATTACTGTAATCTTCCACAGCCTCTCAAAATACGGATCCCGGCTTAGAAACCGGGCATCCACAGCATGAAAGCTGCCTTTGTGCCCGGGCAGAGCCTGGGTGCGAGCCAGCCGTTAGGTGCATGAAGAAAATGAGTTCTCCACGTGCTGGAAGAAGGGAGGAAAAGCAAGCTTTCCCCCCCGAGCCCGCCACATTCGGGCTGGATTTCACGCACGTCTCCCCGGAGCAGCGGCGGAGGGCCCGGGAGCAGCGGGGCCGCCCGTTCCCCCCGCGGTAACGGGGCCGTGCCCGCAGCGAGCCCGCGGCCCCCGCAGCCGGCGCAGCCACCATGGGGGCGTCTCACGGCAAAAAGGTAAAAAGCCGCCGGGGCGGTTCTCCTCGGGGCCGCGGGGCCAGAGGTGATGGAGAAGGCGCCCTCTGCTCACATGGAGCCCGCTCTGCCCCACGCGTGCCGGGATTAGAGGGAAGGGGCCGCTCCTGGGTGCGGTTTAAAGTAATTCCGTCTAATGGGCTCAGCATCGCGGCCTGCCGGGGATTTCAGGACAGCGAGGAGGGGATGAGAGCGTTGTAAGCGTGGCTTTAGGACAGACAAAGTTTTGTTCTCTAGGGAGAAATGTTAGATTTGTTCTGAATGCCTCCAGCAGCCTCTGGGATGTCTCCTGTAGATGCAGGGCAGAGCAAGTCCTGAGTGTTTCTTGGCCTGGGAATTGATGCCAGCTCCCTCCCAGGACAGGGAGGGGCTGGACCGGGTCCCACAGCACCAATACGTTATCCCTGTCCTCCAGATTCCCTGGGGAGAGTGGTCAAATTGCTCCAAATGGAAAGAGTTTTACGGAGTCAGAGCCCTGCAGAGGTGGCTGGAGATGGGTGTGATGAGGATGTTGCATGTCGTTTTGCTTCCATGGCTGATGACATCAGTGCCTAGAGATGCATCATCCCTGCTCAGTTGCAATGCCCTGTCTGGAATAAGACTTCCATAGCTCATCTCCCAGCTCTAAGAGAAACACTCCTGTGTACCACACTAGGTAATAACTTCCACTGGAACGGGTACAGGGACAGCAGTGACCCTTTGCCCCAACAGGGACCCTTCATGCTCAGCTGAGCATGACTGTGGCCTTCAGAGGTATGGTCACTAAGTGCCTTTCATAATTTTGCCAACTTGTTGGACTTTCTTCCAAAGCCAAAGCTGGACACCCTTGCAAGGCAAGCATGTGAAAAACTGGCCACTGGCCAGCGTGACCAGCACCCAGAAAGAAAATCAGAGCTGAAGTGGGACTAGTAAACATGTATCTGTTTTTCTGGACTTGTGACAAGTGCCAGGTGCAGGAAGTGCTGCTCCCAGCCAGCCCCAGCTGCTCCAGCTCCCATCCCAACTACCAAGGCTGGCTCCAGCACACACCGGAGCCGAGGCTGTTCCTGTGGCTGC